TTTTCCAGGGCTGTTGTCATTTTGGTCACTAAATGAAATGGTCGTAACTTGAGGACTATCTGTGAGGAACACAAAACACAAACCAGAAAATAAAGAGGGATCATTTGTACAGGTAGTCCTCAACTTACGACCTCAATGGAGCCCCAGCGTTCCATCGCTGAGACCTTTGTCAAGTGTCTTTCGCCCCATTTGATGACCTTTCTTGAGGCAGTTGTTAAGTTGGAAGGGACCTTGGAGGTCATCTAGTCCAGCCCCCTGCTCATGCTGGTTTCTTCTTAGAAACTTCCAGGGATGGGAGCACCCACCCTTTGGCTTTGCTGATCCGAAGGTCTCAAAAGTGCAGTCACGTGACCCCAGGACGCTGCGACCGTCGTAAATACAAGTCGCTTGCCCAGTGTCTAAATTTGGATCACGTGAACCCGGGATGTTGCGACCGTCGTAAATACGAGTCGCTTGCCAAGCTGTCTGAATTTTAATCACGTGAACCCTGGATGTTGCGATGGCGTTAAGTCCCTTTTTTTCAGGGCCGCCGTCACTTTGAACGGTCGCTAAACGAAATGGTCGTAAGTTCGAGGACTGCCTGTATTTCTATTTTTCTCCCACCCAGCTGCTCTGTGTTTCGATTTTTCTCCCACCCATTTGTAGATAATCCTCTCCAAAGATACTGCATGCTGAAAATTATGTTATTTATTCTATTTATTCTGGATTATTTCTCCACGATTTCTCCGTTTCGTTTGTAATTGTAAAAAAAAACAACTGAATTTTCTGCCTGAAAAATGGCAGATTTTATCTTTTTTTTTTTCCTGCAACCGAGAACAAAACAGCCGGTGAATAATTAATTCATTGATGATTAGTTGATGAATTTATTGATGAATTTTCCAAGGATTGAACTGCATTTTCTGGACTTTTTTATTTTTCCCCCCCAGAAAAAAAAAAAAATCCCTCGATTTGTTCGGAATCCTGTGTAAAATTCGAATCGTAGAAGCAACTCTTTATTATCCTCGTTGGGGACAATAAATCCGGACACACAACGAGACTCACAACTGCGACGACTGCAATGACACCCCAAAAGACTATGGGGTTTTTTTACAAAAAAAAAAAAAAAAAGTTCTTCCCATTGTGGAAGGTGGAACTCACCGAGACTTGATGTTTTTAAAAAAGTCGCATTTTTTTCTCTTTCTCTCTCGTTCTGGAGACCAGCAATCTCGTTTCTTTAAGATTGACAATTTGAAACACGACAAAATTGTTGGATTCTTTTTTCGGGGTTTGGGTCGGGAAAAAAAAAAAAAGAGGCCGGAAAAATAGGGGAGGTTCCAGGAAGGGAAGTGATGGGGGGGTGCTGAGAGTCGAATTCAGTGCAGAATAAAATCAAGGTTGAATTAATTGAATTCATTCATTCATCCAGCCCTTTCAGAGATTCAGGGATGGGTGGGTTGAAGACCCAGATCTCTACGTCTCTGTGGACCTTGGAGGTCATCTAGTCTACTCCCCTGCTCAAGCGGGAGATCCTTATGGAATAACAGAGGTGGAAGGGACCCTGGAGGTCATCTAATCCAACCCCCTGCTCAAGCAGGATATATTTAATAACAGAGTTGGCAGGGACCCAGAAGGTCATCTAGTCCAACCCCCTGCTCAAAGGGGGGGACTCTCCCCGAATCCTAGAATAACAAAGTTGAAAGGGACCCTGGAGGTCATCTAGTCCAACCCCCTGCTCAAGCAGAAGGCCCTTACAGAATCATAGAATAACACAGTTGGAAGGGACCCTGGAGGTCATCTAGTCCAACCCCCTGCTCAGGCAGGATATATTTAATAACAGAGTTGGCAGGGACCCAGAAGGTCATCTAGTCCAACCCCCTGCTCAAATGGGAGACTCTTACAGAATCCTAGAATAACAAAGTTGGAAGGGATCCAGGAGGTCATCTAGTCCAACCCGCTGCTCAAGTGGGAGATCCTTATGAACTAACAAATTAGGAAGGGACCTTGGAGGTCATCTAGTCCAACCCCCTGCTCAAGTAGGATATATTTAATAACAGAGTTGGCAGGGGCCCAGAAGGTCATCTAGTCCAACCCCCTGCTCAAGCAGGAGACTCTTACAGAATCGTAGAATAACAAAGTTTGAAGAGACCCTGGAGGTCATCCAGTCCAGCCCCCTGCTCAAGCGGGAGATCCTTAATAACAGCGTTGGAAGGGATCCCGGAGGTCATCTAGTCCAACCCCCTGTTCAAGCGGGAGACTCTCCCAGAATCCTAGAATAACAAAGTTGGAAGGGACCCTGGAGGTCATCTAGTCCAACCCCCTGCTCAAGCGGAAGGCTCTTAGAGAATCATCATGGTCCCCGGGTCATCAGCTCCGTGGCCAGTACAGAACGAAGCCATCCCGGGTTTTGCCGAAATCCGGCAGGGTCACGTCGGCGCGGGTCTCCACCGTCACTAAGCGCTTCCGGCTGTTTTGGCTAAGCGGGATGCGGTCGGCCACCGTGACGTGGAGGTCTTGCTTGAGCCTGCCAAGAGAGATAAAAGAAGGGTTTGAAAAATGAGCCAGAGGGTAACCCAGTGGGAGAAAATGCACAAACTATGGTTTATTTGAATCATGGTTTATTGAAAAGTCAGGTTTACTAAGCCAGAAATCCTGCATTAGTGCAGCTTGGGATGTCTAGATCAAGACTTCGACACCCAGAATCCCCCAGCCGGCATGCTTTAAGAGGGGAGGACTTCCACTCCCAGAATCCCTCAATCAGCGTGCTTTAAGATGGGAGGACTTTGATTCCCAGAATCCTCCAGCTGGCATACTTTCCCAGAATCCCCTAGCTGGCATGCTCTAAGGGCTGGATTTCAACTCCCAGAATCCCCTAGCCTGCATGCTTTAAGAGGGCTGGACTTCCACTCCCAGAATCCCCCAGCCGGCATGCTTTAATTCTGATCCCATGGCCACGGCGATGCTCCCACGGTCGTAAGTGTGAAAAACAGCCCTAAGTCCCCTTTTTCACAGCCGTTGCAGCTTTGAACGGTCACTAAACGAATCGTCGTAAGTCAGGACCATCTTGACGGCCATCAGGCCGTCACACTGACCTTTCTCGTCCTATTGGCCGACCCAGAATCCTTCGTCTCCCCCCCCCCCCACGAAACAGAGCCAAGTATTTCATCCAGGTCTAATCTTAGCCTCACCATGCTGTCCGTCTCTTCCTGGCCCACCGTCACCATGGCAACTGGGTGCTAGGTGAGTGTCATGGCAACCAAAGCATCCTTAGTACCGCAACTTTCCCGGCAGGACCACGAGCAAAAGCAAAACAAAACAGAATGAAACCAAACCAAACCAAACCAGGACAAACGACAGAATCCGGTTTGCGAAACGAGAAACCGGCGATTGAAGGTCAAAAAAAAAAAAATTCAGGTTTTATTCCCACCCCACTGATCGTCCTCGGACTTACGACGATTCGTTTAGTGATCGAAATGAAAACCGCGCTGCTGCGGGGGGGGAAAAAGGCAATTTTTGGACCGTTGTTCACACTTAACAACCTGCGGTCCCGGGATACTGAATTCGGACGCTTCGGGTGACCGGCGCGCAGTCAGGACGGTCGCCGCGTGGCGGGGTTCCGTTTTTGTCCGCTTCGGCGACTTTCCGACGAGCAAAGTCAACGGGGGGGGGATAGCAGGATTCGCTTCACAGCCCCGGGACTCGCTTAAGAACGGCAGGGATTTTCTTGAGAAAGGTGACAAGCCCAGTCGTAAAATGGGGCAAAGGGGACGGAACCAACGTCTCACTTAAAAAGAGAAAATTGGGGCTCCGTCGAGGTTGTAAGTCGAGGGCTGCCCTTATGAATTCTCTGTTTTTTTTTCCTTCTTTCTTTTCTTTCCTTCTTTCCCTTCCTTCCCGTCCTTTTCCTTCCCTTTTCCTTTCGCCACAGTTTTACCTGCCCCTCCAGACGACTCCCCCAAAAAAGCCAAATTAAATTCAACGGGTCTGAAAACCCCTCGCTTCCCGCACTGTCGGGAGCCTCGTCGGCAAAACCTTGACTCATTCGAGGCCGCTTCCCGCTCCGTTCTGGTCAGACAGAAGCCGAAGAATAGAGGCGCGCCGCGGCCTTCGCGCGAGGGAGGTCAAAAAAGTCAAGATGGTGTCCGGAAGCGTGAACAGACTCCCCCGACTGACAATCATAACAGCGCCTGGCAATTTGGACCTGATCTTACGACCTTTTTTTTTTGGTTTTACGACATTCCTCAGAGCGGCAAACGCCACTGATTCCCACGCTTAGGCATCTTAAGGGGGGAGGACTTCCACTCCCAGAATCCCCCAGCAGGCATGCTTTAAGAGGGGGGGACTTCAACTCCCAGAATCCCCCAGCAGGCATGCTTTAAGAGGGGGGGACTTCAACTCCCAGAATCCCCAGCCGGCATGCTTTAAGAGAGGAGGACTTCCACTCCCAGAATCCCCCAGCCAGCATGCTTTAAGAGGGATGAAGCGCAACTCCCAGAATCCCCCAGCCAGCATGCTTTAATGGGGGATTTCCACATCCAACATGCTTTAAGAGGGGTGGGACTTCCATTCCCAGAATCCCCCAGCCGGCATGCTTTAAGAGGGAAGGACATCAACTCCCAGAATCCCCCAGCCAGCATGATTTATGAGGGCGGGATTTCCACTCCCAGAATCCCCCAGTCGGCATGCTTTAAGAGAGGGGATTTCCACTCCCAGAATCCCCCATCCAACATGCTTTAAGAAGGGAGGACTTCAACTCCCAGAATCCCCCAGCTGGCATGCTTTAAAAGAGATGGACTTCAACTCCCAGAATCTCCCAGCCGGCATACTTTAAGAGGGGAGGACATCAACTCCCAGAATCCTCCAGCCGGCATGCTTTAATAGGGGGGATTTCCACTCCCAGAATCCCCCAGCAGGCATGCTTTAAGAGGGGAGGACTTCAACTCCCAGAATCCCCCAGAATATGTCGGATGACCCCCCTCATTATCCCAGCAACACGGCCCAGGAAGGCTGTGGATGATGGAAGCTGTCTCCGCCCCCACCTTCCTCCGCCAAGGAAACTCAGCTCTTCTCGGTTTCCATGCTCTGATTGCGCCAAGGTCCATTTGCAAAGATTTTTTTTTCCAGAAGGAAAATTAAAAAAATCCACCTTTCCTGCTCACCCATCGCCCGGCAATATTCTTCCTCTTTCTCCTCGCCGTTTCGTTTCCCCCCCCTCTCCTCCCTCCCTGCTCTTTCTCTCTCTCTCTTTCTTTTCTGAAGCTGAGCTGCTCGTGAACTTTCCAGTAGTTACTTAGCAACATTCTAAAATAGAGATTTCTCACATTTATCAAAAGTGGGACAGCATCTCCTCCAGCTGTGCGAGAAGAGAGATGGAGCAAGATGCAACTGCGAACTCCGAAACTGGAGGAAGACGGGATAGCTCCGTGTGTTCGTTCCTGCCCTGTTATTCCATGTTTCACGGTTTGAACTCACAAACGACGAGCCTCCTAGACCCGTCCAAAACTGCTAAACAATTCCTGGAAGCCTGGCATTCAGACGAGGCAGCCATCACCGGGCACAAAGAGATAAATAATGTTTACACACCCTTGAAAAAAGACGGGAATTCCTGGAAGCCTGGCATTCAGACGAAGCAGCCATCACCGGACACACAGAGATTAAATAATGTTTACACCCCGTTGAAAAGATACTGGAATTACAAAGCAGCCATCACCGGGCACAAAGAGATAAATAATGTTTACACACCCTTGAAAAGAGACGGGAATTCCTGGAAGCCTGGCATTCAGACGAAGCAGCCATCACCGGACACAAAGAGATTAAATAATGTTTACACACCCTTGAAAATCGACAGGAATTACAAAGCAGCCATCACAGGACACAAAGAGATAAATAATGTTTCACACCGTTGAAAAGAGACTGGAATTCCTGGAAGGCTGGCATTCAGACAAAGCAGCCATCACCGGACACAAAGAGATAATAATGTTTACACCCCGTTGAAAAGATACTGGAATTCCTGGAAGCCTGGCATTCAGACGAAGCAGCCATCACCGGACACAAAGAGATTAAATAATGTTTACACACCCTTGAAAATCGACAGGAATTACAAAGCAGCCATCACCGGACACAAAGAGATAATAATGTTTACACACCCTTGAAAAAAGACGGGAATTCCTGGAAGCCTGGCATTCAGACGAAGCAGCCATCACCGGACACACAGAGATTAAATAATGTTTACACACCCTTGAAAAGAGACGGGAATTCCTGGAAGCCTGGCATTCAGACGAAGCAGCCATCACCGGACACACAGAGATTAAATAATGTTTACACACCCTTGAAAAGAGACGGGAATTCCTGGAAGCCTGGCATTCAGACGAAGCAGCCATCACCGGACACAAAGAGATTAAATAATGTTTACACACCCTTGAAAATCGACAGGAATTACAAAGCAGCCATCACCGGACACAAAGAGATAAATAATGTTTCACACCGTTGAAAAGAGACTGGAATTCCTGGAAGGCTGGCATTCAGACAAAGCAGCCATCACCAGACACAAAGAGATAATAATGTTTACACCCCGTTGAAAAGATACTGGAATTCCTGGAAGGCTGGCATTCGGACGAAGTAGCCATCACCGGACACAAAGAGATAATAATGTTTACACCCCGCTGAAAAGATACTGGAATTACAATGCAGCCATCAATGGATACAAAGCGATAAATAATGTTTACACCTGGTTGAAAAGAGATTGGAATTCCTGGAAGACTGGCATTCAGACGAAGCAGCCATCACCGGACACAAAGAGATTAAATAATGTTTCACACTGTTGAAAAGATACTGGAATTACAATGCAGCCATCACCGGACACAAGGAGATAAATAATGTTTACACACTGTTGAAAAGAGACTGGAATTCCTGGAAGCCTGGCATTCAGACAAAGCAGCCATCACCAGACACAAAGAGATTAAATAATGTTTACACACCCTTGAAGAGGGACAATAAAATCTAGAACAGACAATGTAGGGACTGTAATAGCCACTATGTAGGACAAACAGGTAGAAGAATAGCAGAACACATCCAGGAACACCAATTAACGTCCAGGAATGCCGACTAGCAGTCAGAAGTCACAACAAAGGACACATAGAGCAGGCATCAACGGACACCTACAGATAAATAAGATTTACACACGCTTGAAGAGAGACAATAAAATATGGAACAGACAATGCACTCAAGACAAATTAGCCATCAAAGGACACATAGAGCAGCCATCAACAGACACCTACAGATAAATAACATTTACACACCCTTGAAGAGAGACAATAAAATATAGAACAGACAATGCACTTAAGACAAATTAGCCATCAAAGAACACATAGAGCAGCCATCAACGGACACGTACAGATAAATAACATTTACACACCCTTGAAGAGAGACAATAAAATATAAAACAGACAATGCATTCAGACAAATTAGCCATCAAAGAACACATAGATATAACTAATGATTACACACCATTGAAAAGAGACAATG